CTTAACCTAAACTTCCACTTTGATTAAAAACAAACAGGATTTTTTAAACTTTTTTTATTGAGTTATTGTCATTTTACAATGTTGTCAAATTCCAGTGTGGAGCACAGTTTTTCAGTTATACATGAACATACATTCATTGTCACATTTTTTTTTTTTTCGCTGTGAGCAAAAAACAAACAGGATTTGATCTTTGAAGGCCCATACCTGGCTGTATCACTCCTGATTACTCACTGTTGTTACTTCCCACCTTTTGGACATTCCCCTTAACTGTCCCTAAATGTATCTTTCTGTCAATTTCAGTCCCTGCTGTCATCAGCATTTTAAGTCGATGACTAATACTCTGGCCTCATTCTTCCTTGAGCCCTACATGAACATTGACCTTCATCTCAACTCTGCTTCATTTAGCTACTCTGATGGTTACACCCTGGATCTTAAGAACTAAAATGGAGCTGAAAGCACTGCTCTACCTCTGAATCACCATTCCCTGACAGCAGTCTCTAGTCTTCCATTTTCTTGTACAACCACTTCTTAATGTTTGTCATCTTACCAGGACTTCAAGTCCTTTGTCCCTTCCACTGTCGCCTAATCTCAGTCCTTCTGTGTTCCCATCTCTTTCCTTTCTCTACGAGTGAAATCCCAAAGCCCATCAGTTCTGCTGTTCTCTTGCTCATATCCCAAGCATCAGCCCCATCTGGATTATTGTGATCTCTATATTGTATCTCTCACTGTAATATTTTATAGATCACTTATTAACTTCTCAAAACCTCAGCCTTCTTGTGGAAAATGTGTTGGTAATTATACCTACCTAATTAGATTATGGTAAGGATTAAATGAGTTGCTGTATATACAGTTTAGCCTACCTTTGACCTGTGTGGAGAAGAATTGTGGAGAAAGGTAACATGACATTTAGAGATTAGACCGTGTCTGTACCGACCCTGCTGTGTGCTGCTAGAGAAACTCACCGAGCCAGGCACGTTCATGTAATATACACTTTGGCTCACCAACCCCTAATGTGTCCCTAAGCTTATCAGTCAGTCCAACTCCAAGCAAGCCCATTTATGAGTCTTTAAAAGGTGGGTATTTATGTATTTGGAATACCTGAAACATGTGTCTAAATTTTAGAAACCTCCGAGAAGCGCGGGATAATGCCATGGCAGAAAAGGACCGAGCAGTGACGGCTGAAAAGGATGCTCTAGAAAAACATGATCAGCTTTTAGACAGGTAAGCACCTGGAAAATGGAAATGTTAAAACTCTGATTTTTGTTTCTTTTAGTCTTTCTTTGAGAATATATCTTTTTAATACAAGCTTAATTTTCGTTTCAGTTGAAGTATAATTTGAAATGTGATAATTTACATATGTAATAATTGCATAGATTGAAACAAGGTGGAGAACAGCTCCATCACCCTAGGGAGTTCCCCTCTACCTTTTGTGTCAGTCTCAACCACCACCCATCAAGAGGCAAACATTTTGTAATTTCTGTCACCGTAGTTTAGTTTTGTTCTTCTTGGACTAAAAATAAATGAATCATATGCTAGGTACCCTTTTGTGTCCCTAACTTCTTTCACTCAGTGTTACGTGTTTCACCCATTTTATGTTGCATCAGTGATTCATATCTTACTGTTGCTGAGCATCAGTGTACCACAGTTGGTTTATTCATTCACCTGTCAGTGGACATTTACTTTGTTTCCAGTTTGGTGCTATGAACATTGTAATATGAGTCTTTTTGTTTTTATTTCTCTTGGATAAATACCTAGGAGTGAAATTGATAATCATCAGATAGGTGGGTGTTTTACTTTAAAAGAACCTGCCAAACAACTCCAAAGTGGTTGTACCATTTTATGCTCCTCATTTCATTCTTTAGAAACCTGTATGTTCTGCTTCATGTATGTTGGAGAGAGGGGAAGTGAGAGAATGATTTGTCTTTAATTTATCAATAGAAAAGTTATTTAAATAGCCTAGTTAGAAGGAAAATCACTCATGAGTATTAAGGTAAACAATGTATTTTAGTGTTTCGACAACATGCAGAGTAAACAGAGTGGTTACCTTTTTTTTTAACTTCTCATTTTGAAATAATTTCAGACAGAAAAGTTGCTAAAATAGTACAGAAAGTTTTCACATACCTTCGACACACTAGTAAACTTGAAAATAAACTTTGTAACTAATCTCAATGAGTCTTTTCATTGTTAAATGAGGATTGCAGATTAATTTGTGGTTTAAGCAATACGCGAAACTAAAAATTCAGGCCAGGTTTTCATAGAATTAACCTATTGTTAATCCTCAAGAATGTCAAACTCTTTGAGAATGGCTCAAATTGTTATACTTCTGCTTTCACATCAACCTTATCAACTTGACCTATGGAGGAATTTTAATAAATGTAATAATGAAGAAATCTTTTCTATAATGTGAAAGTATGCTGATTCCAGAGATCCTAATATAAAACAAAAAATTTATAAATCAGAGTGCTGGTGCAACCTATTTTAAAATTACTTTTATTATGTATAATCCTTCCATGTGTAACTCTCTGTGATATCCACTAAAGATTTACTTGGCTTTTTGTTGATATTGTTTTTGAATGTGATGCATTTAGTAATGGCTCTAGAATTATATTTATAGACAAATTAACAAGCTTTAAAAGAAAGTGTAAGATTTTAGCTGGTGAACCAGAACTTGTATTCAGATAGAATCTCATAACTTCCTAGCTTTGGTATGTTTTTGTGAGTTTCGAGAGAAGAGAATAATAAATTTGACCTTAAAATTGGCTACTTTTTATTTATACTAAGCTTTGTAATGTCCTAAACTCTGACATCTAAAATGCTTCCTATCCTACTTGTCTGTACACTAGAAACTGGTATTTATCCTAAAAGCCATGGGATACTTTAGTACTAAAAGTATCTTCTGAATTACTGAGAATTCAATAATGTAAAGCAAGTTAGAACAGTGTGTTGCACACGATAGTGCTATAGAAATCTTTGGTACTATTATTACAGAAGATTTTGTTCAATTAATCCTGTTATTAGGCTCTACTAATTGAATTTTTGCTATTCAAAAGTTGATCATATCTTTCCAAATCATTTTCCACTACCTATTAAATACATTGGAACAGCTTATTTTAAAATTGCCACATGAAATGAGGTTTATTTTTTTTCTTAATTCCTTGAAGTAATCATAAAACTTTGCTTATTGAGAGCCTAATTTTCAGCCAACCTTAAAAGAATTATGACAGTTTTAAAATCAAGACAAAGAAGGAAAAAAAGAAAATGTTTCTAGACACAGTAAAACATTTTTGGTGTAGTGTTCAGAACTTTAAAGGATATTTCAGGACCAAGGATTTATTGAACAAAGGAATGAGTAATATCTGGAATCTAAAACTCAGAATAAGCTTGGACTTTAATAAGATGCTTGAAGCAGCTAAAGGTTCTTATCTGGTTTTTGTGCTATAATATCAACAAGTAAAGGGGAAAACCCTCATGCTTAGTGCTGCTCGATGATTTCAAAAACATAGGATGCTGGGTATCCCCGCGATTTAATTCTTCTTTAATTAATCTGTAAATTCACTACAATTGATGTCAAAAATTTCAAAAGGCTTGTAGTGAAACTTGACAAACTGACTGTAAATTTTTTTTTCAGAATATCTGTGGCCATTCTTGTGACTATTCTTGTAGCTTTACTCTTCCGTATGAATTGTTATGGTTACATTTTTCACGTTAATACCTTTCATCCACCCAGTATCCATTTTGGGGTATGCTGTAGATAGAAAATATATTTTATTTTGTTCACAAAAATACCAGTTTCCTTAAGTTAACATGTAGCTATAATGGGATCCATATAAAAATACCAGCAATATTTTTTTGTTTAATCTACACTCTAACTTCCTCTCATGTTGGATGGTGTGGGAGGAGCACAGGCCTTCTGGGATCCTGGGAAGGGAAAATAAGTTAGGGATGCATTGGGATTAAGTGGTTTGCAGTCACTCCTGTTCATAGTTAAATTATTGCTAGCCATTTCTGAGTAGCAGTGGCTCCCAGGAGTACTCTTATGACCCACTGTGCAACATAGGTTACCCATGGGTTATGAGAGATAGGACTGTGTCTCAGGGACCGTTACTGGAAACAGGGCTTCTTGGCTTTTTTTATTCATGGAGGGAGATGCATGAAACAGTAATTTAGCCTTTATTTTGGAGGGGATGACCTGGCAGTATTCAAACCAGTGGGTACTTAAACTTTTTACTGATGTGGTGGGTTCCCAAATCTTCATGGTGTTTTCTCCCAGCTTCACTGAGGTATAATTGACAAATAAAATGTAAGATACTGAGTATAATGTGATGATTTGATATACATATGTATTGTGAAAGGATTCTCCCCTCATCAAGTTGATTTTTTTTCCATCTATCTATATTTACTTTTGGGTGGGAACATTAAAGTTCTACTCTCTTAGCTAATTTTTTAAAGCAAATTTCAATTATGCAATACAGTGTTGTCAACTATAGTCACTATCATATACATTAGATCCTCAGACTGTATTCATTTTACAGCAAGATTTTTTTTTAATGAGACATCAAGTCTATGGTTCATATGTAAAAACGAAATAAGTGAGTTTCTGAATAAGAACAAAAACTTGTACCAGGTTACTCAGGTATCCAGCCAGGTGAAAAAATGGAACTTTGGATCCATACCTTACACTTGTACCAGGATAAATTCCGTGTAGATCAGATATTTAAATGAAAACTATTAAAGTACTAGAGAAACCATAGAAGAATGTTTTCATAATCTTGGATCATAGAAGGCTTTTGGAACTCAGAAGATGTAAAAATTAGAGTTGAAAATCTTGACTACCTGTACATGAAAATTGTTAGTATGGTGTTACTACCATAAACATCAAAAGATGCATGCAGTCTGGGAGAAAATATTTGTAACTCCCATCACAGTCATGTGGCTAATCTCCCCATAGGAAGACCTTCCTACAAATCAATAATTAGTGAACATTAGATTCAAATTAACACTGTATTAATTTTCCTCCAAAAACTGAAAGATTGATGATACGCTGTGTTTGCAAGATTAGAAAAACAGGCAGTCTTATACATTGTTAGTGGGATTTTAAATTGGTGCAGCCTCTGTGAGAGTAATTTAATAACACCAATCAGAAGAACAAATGCACATTGTTCTTGACTCAGGAATTTCACTTCTGGTACATTATCCTACAAGTATCCATGCTAGGGACAAAATGACATGTTTATACCAACTTACTCTTTATAGCATAGGTTGCAATCACAAAAGATTGGAAAGACCCCAGATGTCCCCTAACATTTAGGAAGTAGTTGCAATAAGTTATAGTACATGGATACAGTTACAGAATAAAACATGTAGCCCTATGAAAGGAATGAAAAGGAATGAAGCAGCTCTCTGTTCTGACAAGGAGAATTCTTTGAGATACGTTGTCGAGTGAAAAAAAGTAAAGTGCAGAACCATATATGTATATATACATATGACAGTCCCAGTGTATATATGCAACAGTTTTTTTTCACACAGGCTTTATATATAATGCTGTCTTTTGTATACAAATTAAAGAACAAAACATGACATACATGTGTATTTTATGTTTGTGTGTATTTGCTTATGTATATACAAGCATTTATTACTTGTGAAGCAGGAATTTGAGCAGGTGGGGGACAGATGGTGGATATAGATATTTTACAATACAGTTGACCCTTGAGCATGTGGGGGTTACACTGCATATAATTTATAATTGGCCCTCCATATCTGCGGTTCCCCCACATCCTCGGGTTTAACTACCTGTGGACCTTGTAGTGCTGTTGTATTTACTATTGAGAAATAACCCATGTATAAGTGACCCCTCAGAGTTCAAACCTGCATTGTTCAAGGGTCAACAGTTCTGTTCTTTTTCACTTCTTAAATATTGAAACTTGCCAATATGTTCCTTATTTTTCAATGTTTTTAATTAAATGTAAACAAAGAATGATTACTATGAGTATTCATATGCGAATATATATCAAGTCTTAATTACTGAGAAATATTGAGATATATCCCTGAATACCCCTATTGGACTGTTCACTCCCTTGCTGGGAGTGAATAAAAGTAGTAAATAAATATCATCTTGTTTTCATAAATGGGGAAATGGTAGTAGATTCTTGCAACTATTAAGAAGAGACTAGTAGATCTGATACATCATATTTTGATAATTTGTAACATACTTTGGTATAATG